TGTATGTATGTATGTATGTATGTATGTATGTATGTATGTATGTATGTATGTATGTATGCATGCATCGTATATAATCACGTATATATGCTCCCCTATTCCCAACATGTCGTCCCCACCTGAGCTGGGCAAAATTACCAGTATAGTAACAGTAGAAAAAAGGGTCTGTGCCTAGTCAGTCTTCTACATGCATATTCCATCAGAACCCACAAGATCCCACAAGCATCTAAACATCCAACTCCAAGGATGAGTGCAACCGCCGTCTTGGAGACCTTGTGCAGGAAGTAATATTTAATGTCAATCTTCATTGATCTGCATGGATCTCACGTGCAAATGAGCGGCGGCCACATGCTGTGCCATGGTCGTTGGCGGCCTGACGATCAAGGTCAAGCAGCCTACCCTTCCAAGGCATTTTCAAGGCCACACATTTTATTGGTTTAACGCCGGCATGCAACGGGGGCGGATGTCAACATCATCCCATCAAAATCACCAGTCATGATGTTTAGATGTTTACTGCGAACAGGTATCCTTGATACTCTGATTATACATGGATATGCGCTGCTAAACAAACATCTCTTTGGTCGACACAAAGGTTGGTTTGGGGGGCTGGAGAACCGCCATGAACTTCCAAGTCTTGGGAGGAGGCAGTCCAGGGAGGCCAAGAAATTATCACGGGCGAAAGGGATCTCAACATACAGTAATAGAATCGATTTCTTCGAGAGGACCTCCTCTTCGGGACGATACTTCATTTTTGGCCACTGGTGTGGTCCGTGGCGGGAGGGAAAAAAGACTCCACTTTTGGCGCCTTCTCGTCGACACATCCTGGCGTGAGTGGTCAAGGGTCCGGGCCAGTGTGACGGGTCAATGGACGGCTGGCCATGGGTGGAAGTAACTTACAGAATTGGAAGATTCAGGGCAAAAAAATATTACAGTATTGGAAGCATCAATGGATATCAACAGGATGAGTTGGAGGAATCAAGTCTAACGGTGTCGGGGGGCAAGGAACAACTCCCAATTTTTGTGCCCCCGTTTGAGTGCATCAACGAGAACGGATTTGAGTTAACCACGAGGGGTCCAAAGTGCAATACTGATTTGTGTGTCGATGCTGGTGTATGCATCCATCAGTGATGCCAGTTTAAGTGTACCACTGGCAACAAGCAGCACTGGCCTGGGGCATGCAGTGTGTGAGGTGTTAGCAAACGCATGACATCTCTGCTCTAGGCCAGTGTGACACTCATATCATTGATAGACTCCTCAGGAGGAAGTTGGGATTCCACTGCGAAACCCAATGAGTGGAAGAACCCGCACTGCGCTGGAAGCCTGTTAAACAACTCTGGTGCCCATTTCCCGACATATATATAATATACACTCTACCAGTAGCTTCTTGCTACTAGTAATGTTGACTTCTGATTTCTATATGGCCCGTGAATAATACTGAAGTTGTTTCAACAACAATGTATAAATGGCCCTCAAACAATACTACTGTAAATTGTTATGGACTCTGATTTATAGCTGCTTCCTTTCCTTCAATTTCCTTTCCTTTATTTTGATTTCCACTATTCTTTCATTTCCTTTTCTGCCCTTTCATTTGCCTTGTTCAAGATTTGTCTTGTATTTTTCTGGATTTTACATTATTTAGGGCCCGCACTTGATCAAGGGGGGGGGGTTATTCTTCAGGTGGACATTAGTGAGGCCAGGAGCTCCTAAGTAGCAATGCTCTTGGATACTAGTAGCGTCCTATCCACATCCCTAAATGATGCCAGTTCCCCTTCCGCAAGTTCCACAAGTCTTCGGCCTCTGATTGTTCTTCGATGTTTAACGAGGACGCCTGGGGGGTCGGCAGTCGGCAGTCAGTAAGTGCACCTGGTCCGGGAGTCCGAGTTAGACCTTCACACATATGAAACCAAAAACCATTGATTGCGAAACATATATATATATATATGTATACTCCCCCGCAGATTAACATGGAACCCCAAAACCACTGGGTTGTAGAGGAAAATGGTCTTCCACCGGTCAATTCTCAGCTTCCATGTTAATTTGCGGGAGAATATATTGTGTTTGTCCCTTTTGAATGCGAAACATTGTGAAACCATCCACTGACTCCACCCTTGGAAGATCCACAAGGTTCAAATCCCTGGAGCAGTGGTTTGTTCTCTTTGAACTTTGTGGAACAATGCATTGTTCATGTGGCTCAAACGCATGACAGGCTAAATCTCTGTGCCTCACCCAGTATTTCCTGACAAGTTTAAAATGTACAAATCTTTCAAACTCTCATTGGACCTACGCGTGGTGGAACCAAAGTGGAAACACCTGACATATCCTAGCACAATGCGTGCATGGTCACCAAGGAAACTCCTTACAATGCTATGTCATGACAATAATGTCAGAGTAGTCCACTGGAAAACTGTGCAGTGCATACTAAGAAAGCAAAGTGTTGGTGAGTGCCTTTGGCCGATTTCGGCTTCGGCCACACCTATTATCTCTGATTCCTTAACTACACATGGACCTTCCGTCAAGGTTGGCGACTTTCCCAGTGTATCTCTGCAAACCTCCACATAGGTCCCCAATCGGTATCGCTTGCTCACTTCTCTCTGCGACGATCTTGATCCCAATCAAGAACCAATTTTGTTCTAAAGCCGAGTATGTGACCTGGATGAGGTGGGGCCTTGAGAAAATAAGAAATACATAAACTATTTATATAAAAAACACATAGAGTCCCTGATAGGGGTATCCAATGGACCCAATCTAGATCCCTAAGTAGTGGGCTGGGGCTTCCAGCCAGGTGACCCCTTTGAAGGTGCTGGTCTATGCTCCACGTGGGTGTCCTAGTTACACCGACCCCAGAGTCGACGCCCACGTCGAACGCGTCAAGCGCGAACGGACTCCGGCGAGCCGCCGAGCGCTCGTTGCTGCTGCCCAGCCCCAAGATGCGTCCGCGTCGCGCGGAGCTGGCCTTGAAAACGCGCGGAGCGGGATGTTATTGAGCGGAGAAAAATCTCTGGTTGGAAGATGTGTAGCTGGTCCAATGGTCATGATGTCCGGAACTTGTCCCAACACAAATTAGATAATGAATTCGGACATGCTTGAGATATCTGATCTACATGGGGCACATGCTTCGGATCTTGGATGCTCCAAAGCCCGCAAATGCTGCGCTTGAGAGATACGTCAGATACGATTCCATGCAACTGATCCACCAAGAGTCTTGGACGTGTTACACTCATTTGCTCCTCCTCCACCTCCTCCTATGAGCCCATCTTGAGCACAACCAGAACACTCAACCGCATGCTTCCATTGGTATATCTCCCTCAACGGCAGCCTATGGCAGCCCTCATCCGGCCGGTGACCCGGACCGGCAGACACGGTGTTTTCTCACCGTTCACAGCTGTTTCACGGAGTCAGTGGTACTTTGGAGGAGGATGCAAGAATTAATCCGACACCTGAACATCTTAATGAGAGGTACCTTAAATAATCATATCAAACACCAGCGGATTTGTGTCCAAGACCATGCCGATATTTTAGACAGCAGAAAGAACTTTCCTCTCCACTTAAGTCTTTGGACTTCGAGGTTGTCGTCAGAAAACATACATAAACTGGCTTGTGTCATATGTACTCACCCCTAGCGAGACATGTTCTACAAAGTCACTGTTACAGTACTCATCTCGTCCCTGAACTCAAAACATTGGCTCATCAAATTGAATGTTGTTTTTTTGGGCACTGTCCTTTTGTGGCACTCTCCTGCCATCCGAACGGCCGCGGAAACGCCACCGGTGCCTCTGGCATGCCGTGCACCGCCTCATGCAAGAAGCGCTTCTTCGTGGGCGTTTTCACCTCCTCAGGTGCGCAGGGCGGGGGGTGCCCGACCAGGCTCGCGCACGGAAGGTGCCCATAAGGTCCCTGACAAGGACAGAAGTGGATTCAAAGGTTCGATGGCACGTCTGTTACCCCAAGTTCGGTGGTTGCTACTGTATGGAGTCCCATCTGTCGACAAACATCTTGGGATGCCAGTGCCATCTAACCACTGTAAGATTCGGCATTTGAAGCAAAGGATGTGTGATTTGAGGCCCATAAGGCTACATTGATCATAATCATATATACATGGGGAATTCCAAGCCCGGACGGACATGGGACGTGTCCACTCCATTGAGGCATTGGACCACCACTTCCATTCATTCACTTAGCACATGTGTGATGGGTATGCGGGGTTTTCCTGACCGTGTGCTACTGCAAAAGGGAGTGTCTCTTTTGTTTGCAGCTCCTCCTGCATGCGCCAAACGACCCTAGTCTAGTAGCTTCCGGGATGCTCAGGAAAGATGAATTCCACCGGATGCTCATTCTCGGTCTTTGATTGCAGTGACTCCCAGCCCCTGGCGAGTACATGCGGTCCGCGGTGCCTCCTGCTCCCCTCGCAGCTCTTTCAAAAGGCTCTCCTGCACACTGCAGCGCTCGGCACAACGCTCCGAACCGTATGGCGCCACTGCCTCCCTCGTGAGCGACGAGCGGCTCGCGAATGAGAGTCTGCAGGTCAATATCAGCCCCATAGTTCATCATACAATAGCGCGGGAAGTGGATCTTCTCCCTAAAGCGGGAGTGAAGTGCACAGTGCACTTCAGAATCGCATTTACCTGTGAGAAAAACAACTTGACCAAATGCAACTGTATACTGTCTGAGGACCTCATCTCCTTGGAACTGTTGGACGCTCAGCAGGACGTCCAAATGATCGTGGACTATCACCCCAAAAGATCAATAATCCATAGATATAATATATATTGTACAGTAATATATGTGCATTCAAGCTATCCATATGTCCCTGCCTAGCATTCTTTAATGTTTTCATACACACGTGTCAAGGTCATTCTGTCCGGTACTCTCCTTGAAGGACTTCAGTTCCTCGCGTAGGGTTGTCTGAGCCTCGCAAGTTGCGTTAGACGGGCACTAGACCCTTCTAGGAAGCCTCCTTAAGGAGCCTGAAGGGAGCCTTCCTGACTCCGAGACAAACAAACAAATGGGATTCCGACCCTGTGACTTTAAGAAGCATGTCACCATTGTCCCATGTCTACTGTTTGTTGAGACTTCCGAAAGGGAAACGCTGTTTCACCCAAGCTTCCACGCCAATGATGGTTGAAATATGAACCAAACACTTGTCATCTGTCTGTGGTCTTGTGGCACTCAAAGGTCCTCCTGAACCCGTTACGTTTGTTCAATCCGCTTGTTCCAAGCGTTTAGGTGGCGCGATGTGTGACGAAGCAAATGGTTCAATTCTATACCAGCACCTTCTGGCTGCGGTCACCTGGATGGAAGCCCCAGGCCTCTACTTAGGGATCTCCATTGGACACCCGTTGAAGGTCCAGTGGGTTCCTATAAGGTCCTAAACCTTCCACGTTCGGTCCCGATTCACGACCGTAGAGACCGAGCCCGACGAGACCGGAGACCTCTGGGTGGAACCAGCTGCGAAGATCCAGCAGCTCCGGAGACGCAAAACAGCTGCAAAGGGGGACATCGAAAGCCCAACCAAAAGCGTGGCAAGCCAGTCGCTCCCGACAAAAGCCTGCTCAAAAGCAATACTCTTCGAATCCTCTATTCCTGGGGGGCTTTCCCTCAACTTGCAGAATCCCAGCGTAAAATCTTTTCTGACAAAGCCACGAAGAGCAACAGCTCCTTGCGTAAGGCCATTTCAGCTTCAGCCATGGGATGCAGCGCACGCGGCGTACAACGATTTGTGGACAACCCGAAGAATGCCAAGCACGCACATGATCTATTCTTGGATATCAGGCCTGAAGCCAGTGCTGAGAAGTGGTCAATACTTCCAGCGGTAGTCAAGAAACATGTTCAACACGGTTCAACCATCTTGGCCCTCCGACGTGCTGCATCCTGCTTGAAATTAGCATGTTCCGTGTTCGACGTTCTCTGCGTGATTCCAAGTGCTCCAGAGGCGTTATTGGTGGTGTTGAGGCCCTGGCGTAGTGCAAGGCAAAAAGCCGTTAATACGGGATGCACCCAAAAATGCAAGTTAAAAGCTTACACAAGCGTACATAACACATCAAGCATAATTCGAAAAGAACGACACTTGAATCACTTGAACTTGTCATGGGCCGAACATGGCTCTTCTGTCAGTGGCCTTCACTATCAGGAAAGCTCAGGTTGCCCAGCTGAAGTTGAGCCAAACATTCATCGTCATACACATTGCCGCAATGTCTGGATTACTCATTCCCTATCTACAGATACGGGAAACAATACCGTTGAAGTGCACCTACTGTGGCGACCGAACTCTAAACTCTAAAACATAAGCTATGCCTGGTCACGGAAGAATGTATATATCCATCCAACCTCCCAAAAGCTGGGACTTCAAAGGCACAAGTAGCTGAGAAGCTGGAGTGGTTGATATTGGATACTGTCTCATCATCTGTCTGGCTAGACCGCGAGACATTTATATACTCAGTCGATGACTAAACCAACTTGCTAAAGATCTTGCCAATCGGCCTGCTGCACCGGTGCACAAAAACACCATCTGTCCACCACCTCATTTGACGACTGGATCTGCACGACAGCGGAGACGCCGTTCCCGAGCATCCCAACCCCCCCGCGCCGCCGAAGCTGTCGATGAAAATGCCAGGAGCACCACCTCAAGCAGGTTGTCTCATCTGGGCAGGCTTCATGTGCGGCCACTGAAGTAGCAAAAACACATGGTGTCCAAGCTAAAAATAGTTTAGGTATAAACATGTATAAACCATATATGCAGCACCTTTTTTGGAGTGTGGGAGATTCTCTTGACTTAAGGATGGCATGTATAATGCCGTTTCATGGTCAATGCACTTCAAAGTGGATTTAAACACACATCTTGGAGTTGAATGTCCTGCAGGGCGGTTTTGAATCAAGCAACCAGGGGTTACGTTACTTGGTGCTCCTTGTTGGCCCACGCCTGCTGTTTGAAGAAAGCTGCTAACCCCTAACAGCCTAACAGCTCGATACCAGGCCGCAAAAAAACACATTGCTGCGAATGGCTGGGTTGGAATCGCTATGACTCTTGGGCAATGATGTTCATTGAACTGTGGAGGTGCCTGGAATATGGACTGTGAGGACCTTGAGGAAGGAGCCCGATATTAATCCGCGATAATGATGCAATGGGTCAAATCATGGTGACAATATCTAAGATAAGAATCCACAATGAGATAAACATATATATATATATGGCTGAGCAACCAAACGCGGACTATATATAACCTGGTTAGAGGTTCATGCAAGGGCTCTTGTCTCTTAATATCATATCCAATTCACATCTGTTCGACCACCATTTGCCCTGCCAATTTGAGGTCGACTCCTGATATTCAGGTCGAACATCTAAGGACTTCCTTGGGGATTTTCACGTCGAATGGCCGTTCGACCTAACCCAAGGCCAGCACCTGGGACACCTGGAACCTTCTGGACTGGGGCCCGGGCTGCCAGCTGCAACCTGCGGGCTGCGGCAGCACGGATGGCTCTTTAAAAACCGTCACAGGGTGTTTCTGAATGATCAGGAGCCTGCATACTCTACGAATCGCAGCCTTTCTTAGGAAGTAGGCCTCCAACTGGAGAATGCAGCTCACCCAAAGAGTATGATAGAAAAGGCACGTCAAACATGTGCATATCAAATTGTATCAAATTGTTGGATTTCATAAACTGTGCGTCTTACAAAGCTGTCAACGGTCCAAAGCAGTGAAAAGGAACCTCTCACATTCCTTCCCGCACTACTAATTCCCCATGCACTGCACCTGGCTTGCTTGTTCCTTTGCAATCGGCTCAGGGGTCACTGAATACCACATCTCCTCGTTCAAGTGAACAACGGCCGAGCATAGAGTTTCCGTCTATATAAATGCAATGTGTCAGTCGAGGCATCCAAGTAGTATCCTGGGCTCATAAGGTTCTTCCACACGATGCATCACATAAAAATTGGCAGACAGTCCTCAGCATTGTAGTATGTATAGTCTTTATCAAAGTCACTGTCACCAAAAACAGTTTCTAGTCACCTCTTGTGAACAGCTGATGCTGGTGCAACCCCCAATTTACAAATCCAGGGACGTCTATATTATAAGGTTTCTCAGGGTTTTCTCCCCTCGGTGGCCTGCTAAATGTCCAATATTTCTGCTAGATCCTCAGGTGAATACTCATGGATAACGAAACCGTATGTCAGGTGTCTGCAAATGATTGGACCCGATGAAAAGATCCGCACTCTTCACGAGCAAATTGCTCATGAAGAAAATAGCCATAGTCCTAACCAACCAAACCGGTCAAACCTCGGAGAATAGTGAGCAATGGTGCAATGGATCCCTCCAAGCAAACCTGTCAATACACAATTCGTGAGAAGATCGATGTGGCTCCTCATCCAACTTGATGCCTTTGTCAAACCTTGGTCGGATCACGTGTGATCAATGTGAAACGCAACCAGTAGAACAAAAATGCTTGAAAGTTGTCATTGCACCAAAACAAGATTATGTCTCCAAAACTTTTCACCATCCATCATGGCTGTTCAACAACAGAAACCTTTATTACTTGTTCCTGACACCCAGGCCAAGGAGAATTGATGACCTTTTTCAACTGCCAAAAACCCCCACCCAAATGCTGCCTTAAAGCAGTGCAGTGGTGAACCAATGAGCCCAGAAACTTGGAGAAGAGTGTGTAGCGCTGCTTGTGGTACCTCGGGGCAATGGCGCAACGGCGTCACGCTCATCGCTGTCACCATGTCATACCATTTGTATACGCCGTTGTGGCAATAAAAAGGTCTTTCTACCAGCGTTGATTAACAACAACCTGGATATGTAAACATACAATATAGTATCATCTATATAAATATACATACATGTGACCATGTGTGTGTGCACGAAGGTGTCGTGTCTCAAACCTAAAGCAAACATCATGCAAGGTGTTTGGAGTCTTTATTCCACCCAACAGTTCTGTCATGTTCTGTCTATTCCTGCACTTTTCGACTGAACTTAGCAGGGCACGCATAAATAGCGAACTGGCCAGCCTTCCTTAGGCTTTAGAATCACCGAATCACCAGCTTCATTCTTAATAAGGTCCAACTTCTGGTCGGCATACGCTTTTTGAATTACACTTACTACTCACGTGGGTCAGCATGACGCATGCCGGTCCTGCTATAGCTACAGCTGCGGAAATTCCCAGGTGGCAGCTTTCGTGTTTTTCTCGTGCACCCAGGTCGACCATGGTCTTTTCTATGTCTGTCTCCTTTCCCTGGAGTGCTCCAATTCAGATCGTCTTCATCCCTCTTCTGATCAGCCCTCACGACCCACCATGCACACGCGACGCATTTTTCCTCACAAGAAGCTGCTCGTGTAAGCCTTAGCTGCAAGGCAGCTTCAATGCATGTGAGCATCACTGTTGCTTAACTGATTAAGAGGGGGAACCATTCAATATAACATGAGGTTTACATGTTGGATCAAATGCCTAGCCTAGCTGTTTCAAGAAGGGTCGTGTGCCTGCTTGTGAGTCGGCCGTTTCTTACAGCATGTTGCACCCCGAAATCTACCATAGACCCCGAAACTAGATTTTTGGAGGCATGTCTGGTGCTTTGGAGTTTACAAGTGCGTATGCTTCAAACAGCTCGTCCTCCGTTTTCAAAGCGCTCTCCCGACTTCAGTTGCCAAAGTAAACACATGAAACTCACCCCCCAAAACCACCCACTAACTCACTGGGGACGAGTCACCAGTGATCACATGGACCAGCTCAGCACCATCTGAAGCCTATGGAAGTCCTATATCTGTAGTTACACTGTAGTTCGGAAATGTCCTCATGATGGATTTGCGAACAGTCCACAGTGACCACACAGTTAGGCAGTTGACCATAGGATTTCATGATAGATTATTCCTGAAAGAGTCGGGGAGGTGTGAGGCGTATTTTTGTTGGGTGAACTTCGGTCATCCATGCAGGGAGCTGGGGATTTTTGAATATATATATATATTTATAATATATAGAAACAGTAACTTGAATTGGAACAGTTCAGCAGCACAGGAAAAAATTGTAGTCATATTCAATGCAACGTTCGCCCCCTACCTGCATGCTGGAAAATGGGTGGTGCATCCATCCTCAAATAAACGACCGGAATGTTGCACAATCCCAACAACAATGGAAGAACCATACCAAAGACTGGAATTTCCAAAAGCCTATCCACTCAAGAATGATCAAACATGCAAAACAACATATGCGGGCTTTAGATCACTTCCACCAGGTTTGCCGCCAAGCTGGGTGGTGTTGAGGAAGTGTCAAATGATGTCAAACTTCGATAATCATAATGTGCTTCCCTTCGGAATTTGAGTTATATATACGTATACGTATAGTTCAATCAACATGTTCAGCCAATTTCCCAATGACGCAGGTTATGCACAAGGGTTTGCATCCGGTCCTTTCCAAAGATTTGGTTCCTGCCAAGAGTTGGTCCATTTCTTGGCGGTTCCGACCCCCAATGCTCCTTTCTAGCAACTCCTCTGCCCAGTGACTCGTGATGCTTCCCGCGGTCGCTTCCACGGTCGCAGCTTCCACAGACTGCGGCGAGGTTAGATCGGAGAGATGCATGCTTCAGCCAGCTGGCTAGCTGTGAATTTGCGACCCTGAACATAATACCCAAACTACAAAAAGTGTTTGTTCAAAACAAACATGTGGGGTGCGGAGAAGTACAAACAAACGTGGTAGAGTTCCTCCCAGAAACCCGCACCAGACTCTTGCAGGCTCCACTGCTATTAGCACTCCAGCTGAGCAAGTCACAACCAACTAGCGGTAACTAACCGCTATCGCGGACTCCCAGCCACCCCAAACTGAAGAAGACATGTCACCTTGTGCTCAGAGGGTGTCCTTGATACAGTGTTTTTAAAAGTTGACCGGAACAAGCAAGGTTTGTCCGAAAACCCTTTCTTTAGTGGGGGACTGTTTTGAAAGCGACCATTCTGTGCAAAGTGCCGGTTTGTGCTTGGGACCCCGGCACAAGGAGTGGCATTGGCATGGATGCGGATGACATAAACCTCAAAGCAACTATCAAAGGCAAATCCCTTCAGGCTGTGATGCTTTAAGCATAACACAATCTGTTGCACAGCTCCGAAACAAACACTTGCTCGCGCTGAAGGCTCTTCACGCTGGACTGAACCCACCAATGGAAAAAAGTACCCCATACATCCCCATACAAAAAATGTGTTTTCCGGCCTTGATCGCCAACCCTTCTATACACCCTTCTGCTCACACCAACCCGCCAGACGTGCCCCTCAAACCGGATTGAAAAACCCCGAAGAAGCCACGCTGATCGCGTCGGCCCTGCTCAGTCACCGACTTCTGCGCCACATCCGGTCCTTGCGGCGCGCAAGCGTCGTCCGGTGGGGAAGTGCCGTCCGTCTCAACGAGCACTGCGTGAAGGAAGACGGACAAGTTGATTAGTGGGGTCCCAAAGTCAACCATGGACATTGTTGGTTGCTATCTATCTATATATATATATAACTCCAAGGTTTACTTGGACGGGTGTCAAACAAATCAACTTGGTGTCTAAATTGACCGATGTCTCAAACAAATCAACTTGGACGGGTGAGCACGATGCCATATCCAATGCCTGAGGGCAATGGCAAAGAAACCCGGTCGCCGAAAGGGAAGCAGTCACCAAACCCAGCAGAACTGGTGGAAGAACTCGTGTTATAATCGATATGTACTAGCAACGAGGGTGACTTATTTCCCTTGACATTATCCTCCCACCAGCTGCCATGTTGGTACTGCTCCTGCTAATCCTGCTGCGGTTGCTTGCACACGGGTTTCCTGCAAGAACTTCCACTCTCAAAGGACGGTTGGGGAAAGACTTCACCCAGGCAATGTCCTCGCGATCCATCTGCATGATGATACAAGTCACCACCAGGCAAGCTGTCCTGCACTGAACGGCCCAGGACGGTTTGAAGGGCCTAAGGAGGCGCCCGCAGCAGTATTTGGAACGGCCCAGGAGCCAGCCATATGGACACGTGGCGCATGGCGCGTTTGGGAGAGAGGAAAAATAGCGACGGATGCGACGCAAGTTCTTTGAATACGTGGACCCCGCATGAAGAGGTCCATCAATCCATGTCTGGGGGGTGTTAAATGCATATCTTTGCATCGGCGCTGGCGCCACTCTTCCTCTTTCAATCTAAGCGTCCGCTGGGCCGCACCTCTGCTGCGAGACGCACGGCCTCTGCAGCATGCCATGCAGCGATGGGGTTGGTCCTCCAGTGTATCAGCAGAAGGGCGGGAAGGAGCTTCAACGAGAAAACACTAGTAAAGCTTGAGAATAATGGCCTTTCAGGATGCCATTCTCAGGGTCCATGTTGTTTCCGGGAGTGCATAAACCTAGTTCATACATCGATTTCCTATTCTCTCTGTCTCTCTCCCTCTTTCTCTCCATTGGCATCTAAAGGGCATAGGGCATTCGATGGACTAAATGATGGCCACACGTGCACCCAAAAAAACAACAACTAGTTACTCGAAGAGAGCTCCCTTCTGGTGTCCCCATTGTCCCTGAAGATCGCCTTCTGTCTTGGCTACCTCGGACGGAGCATGACTTCATGACTTGCAATCCTTTAGCAGCAGAATGCCCTAGCCGTTGTTTTTTCCTGCTGTAAAAAGGGCTGGGTTGTCGGAACTGGCCGCCTCTGGCGAACCGATCAATGTGGCTTGGCATGCCCAGCCGAAAGGAGCAAAACAGCTCCTATCTACAGTGTAAATCCTACAGCTCCCAGGCCCAAGTACCTGTCCAAAGGAGATACCCTCAGGGGCCCCTGTACCCACGGCATTTTGAGGTGATCTCTGGCTTTTCTCATGGCTCCAATGCGCCCCTTGCTCGGACCGGCAAGTTGTCCTGGCCAACATGCCCATGGCCTGGCGAGACCGTGCGATCCTTTCCGGATCTGCACGGCATGTTCAATTGAATGCAACACACAGTAACATATACCATATCTAATGTAGTCTATAGGTGTTCAGTTTTGGGGGCATATCCCAATACCAGTATATGACAGTGGATGATAGTTCAGTTGCAGGCCTTTCTTTATCATCGTGATGTTCGCTTGCCGACTGTTACAGCTCATGGGACAGACCCAACATATACCCTTTATAACTTAAGCTTATTGCAAAAAAACAATCGAGATTTCCTGGTGATGCATTTCTATACAATTCAAATCAGTTTTCGCCCAGTTGCACAGGATGCTCAAGGCTAACCTCTAGGTGTGCCGCAAAGCTATGGAGCCTTCACACCACAGAAACCCGCCAGGGGCGCATAAACCCACATCCGCATACAATGAATCAATGCTTGTAGTGGATCGACTGGATTGAGCTTAAATGGGACAATCCTCCGAGAGGTGGTTGAAATTGGACCACCCCCATCCTCCCAAAAAAGAACACATCTTGGAGTGTGTGCGCCTACTCTGAAACCACTGATTAAGTCCCCTAGCTTTGTGCTGGAGGCTGGAGAATGGCAACCATCCGCAATGGGTCCAGTCTCTTTGTTGGGCTATCAATGGTGGGTAACTTAAGCTGAGAACAACAATTCAAAGCCAAATTCCTCAATACCTGCATAAATACTCCATCTGCCTGCATGTGGCACTTCTAGTACACTGGTTTCAAGCAGTTTTAACTCAAGATTGCACTTTTGCCCCTTTTAAGGCAATTGACACAGCTCCAAGCCGTTACAAGCCTTTGAGCTTCCCGCCGTCAGTTCTGAAAACCTTCGACTCATTGGAAGTGGAAAACCCTGTGTTTGCAAAGGAGAGTGGATGAGAATACATTTCCAAGGGATCATTTTCCTCTTCCATGTCAGTGACTTGAAGTGCAGGTTCTGTCTGTATATTGGAAACATGTACAGATCGACTCCATTGATCGACTGCCCGGACGGCGACAAAGACGAATCACTGGTTGGAGACGAATCGCCTCAGGCGGAGAGTCGATGACTGCAGACTGGTGACCTGACGAGTCGTGCGGAGTCGCTCGTGGAAGCATGGAGAGGCTTATAAACCCAGAAAAATTGAAGGTATCAAGCAATGGTGAATAATGGTGTGTACATATATATATATATGTGTGTGTTACAAACATTCATCAACAATGTTCCAACATGTTTGATCCCAGGACTCTATCATGCGAACCATGGCTCAGCCAGTTAGCCGCTAGCCATGAGCTTATTGCCGCATATTGCCTATTGTATTTTTGATGTCACTTTCAACTGCGCATACCCATCACCAGCTACGCCGCAGCTACGCTCACCCACCAGCTGGCGCCTGACACAAAGCTGGGGCGGAAGAAGGGATTGGCCGCTACCCAGGTGTTCACCTTCTGGTACTCCTGGACTCCTGTGGCAGTCTAAGTTCAGGGAGTTAATCTGATGGCTAAAAGCTCAAACTATTTTTGGGTGGGGGGATCAGATTGAAAGCCTCGTCAGGCATGATGAAGACATGCCACATCCTGGACACCTGAAATGCGAGATGGTTTTAAGAGCAAAAACACTTTGTTATACTTTGTTGATCTTTGTCATCCAAAGTCTGATGGTGATGAAGCATCTGTGTCCTGGTGGCTTGATTAAACAAATGGTCTTGGAATGTCTTGGGTCTCGCTAGGTCGTAAACAACTTGTCTTCCCAAAGCCCTCATTGATCAAGCTCCTCGGAAGTCCTCTGCTGCCTGCATTGAGCTGAGCGCCAGCGGATCACATCCGGATCACATTCCAAAAGAACACATATCTCACTGGGTGGAAATTGGAGTACAAGAAGCAACACTTCTACCAGAACCTGAGTCAAACGCCCAATGTGGATGCTCTTGGCTAGTTAAATGAACCCACGATTTGTGGATGTTCTTGGCTGGTCAATCACTGTAATTGCTGACTCTCAGTTCTTGGTAGGAATGGGAGAGGCCAAAGATCCCACAAGTTGGTGTTATGTCACTTCGGCTCATCATCAAAACTTCCAAAGCCTACACAGTCACATATGGCATGTTTAGCACAAACATTTATGTCCTGCAGGTCCGACTATATAGGTTCCGTGCATGATGCAATGTACTCGGTGTGATTGTACTTGTTCAGCGGGATATGTCTGTAGAACACACCAACATCTACACCTGCAGTCCTTCCGCAGCTGGTCACCTTGACCCGTTTCATCCCGTTTTCTATTGGTGACTGGGGGGAGCCCAGCTGAGTCCGGTCGGCGAGTCCCCACCATGTCCCCACCGTGTCCCTGCCTGTGTCGCCTTTGCAACAGCCTGCAGAGCTGCAACCTGACGGGTTGTGTTTCAGCTGGGTGCAAGGCTGACGGTCGTCAACACAGGGTTATGGGTTTGGAGCTGGAAAGTGGTCTTCAACTGAAATGGTTTTCTATCAGGGAGCCCCTGTTCAATCAATCCACATTCTCACTGCCATGTGGGCACGATCATACGGTGTCATAGGGGATAAAGCTTTTCAGAACGAAGCGTGGAGGAATCAACAAACTAAAGGCTCGCTGCTTCCCATGGGTGTTCCCCACAAAGCCGTGGTAGTGTGGTAGTGGTATATACTGTCACGCAATTTGATGGCATTTCTGGGACAACAATCCATGAATCTTGGAAACACACATCCATTTGAAGGCCATTTCCCCTCTATGTGGTCGTCTAGGTGCACTTCTCCGGTCCATTCCGGTCCCGCCCAACGAAGCCTTTGGACTCGTTGCAGGCATGCTCTGCGCATCACGGAGCACATCACCTAGACGAGACCCTCCGAGAGGCAGACGAGTCGGTCTAGTCGGCTTCTGGTTGGAAGTGTTCGGCGGGGTGAAATGAACTGTGATGATGGCACTTCCAACCGTGTTTCTTTTGAAGCTCATCAACAATCCTGCGGATGATGGCTGGCAGTGGGAGCTGTAATTGGCAAGTGTCATGGGACAGGCCTTTAATATAGAACATACTTTTGAGCAGCATGCAGTAGAAAAATAGAAGCCCCGCGACCTTGTTCGGAAGGTCTATTCACATGATTCACATGGCAATACGAGTAATCTTTTTTACAAGCACCCTTCATGGTGTCATCCCGCACCCCACTCCCTCAGTTAGCATGTTCTTACCACCTTGAAATCAGGACCTCCCTGTTTAAACAATCATTCATTCTACTGTATACAGTGTCGAACTATGTCGAACCAATTTTCCGTGGTCCGGATCCTTAGATCAGAACTGTGGAGTTTTGTGCTGCATGGAGCTATCTTCAGCTCCAGCTCCAAGTCTGTGAAGACAAAAACGATCAAACATGTGCGTCAAAAAGCGGCCTCAACTCCAGACTCCAAACCTGTTTTTGTCCACCTTGGCCATCTTAGCATGTCACGGACCTGCGCGGAACCTCACAGATCCGCTAACGGATCCGGCTTCAACCGCGCGAACCGCGGAGCGGTCCAGGACGCAGCGAGCGGTGGGAGCGAGCGGTTCGGAGTCACCCTGAGACGTGTCTTTCGGATTCGAAGATATGTTAAAATCGGACATGGTTTTTATGGGGGTTGTTATATGGGGGGGTTGTCCCACACCTTCCTTGAAGATGGCCCCCCCAAATGAGGCGTCCGCCGCTCTCTCAAGGCCGGGGGTACGATGAAGTGAGGCCATAATCTTCGGTCAGACGTGTCCCGAGGTTGGTCACCATCATTGATCTCTCGGTCGATTAAGCTCAGTGTCATGATCAAGAAACTGTCCCACAGAGAGATTTACAGGCAAGATCCCTTTCTGTTCTAAGATGTTCTAAGTCTGTTGCCTTGGAACCTAACTTTAAACGACTTCTCTCCCACCCGTCCTAGCCGGAAGCATTTGCAGATTCTGGGCTCATGACTAAGCTGGTCAGCCACATCCAAGTTCGGCATTGTTCCATGGGCAATGAGCGAATATCACCTGCCTTGTGCGATCACCCTGATCAACTTGAACAAACTTGAGAAACCCACAGCCACAAACCTGTCCGCCTTGGTATTTCTGGGTGATATTCCTTGTCTCCGGGTGAAAATTGTTCGAGGATGTTCCCTCATGAGCTGTCTGGACATGAATCTTCTCTTTCTGTTTGGCCGTTGAATGACCATGGAGACAACCGCAAATGGTGGATCCTTTGACCATGACATCCTGACACCCTCCCCCTGCCACATGTCTTCAAAGGTCGCGTGAAGTGTCATGGCCGGTGTCTACTGAAGGTTCCTGGCAGCTCCTACCAAGAAATACATGCACTTATAAGCATCCTTGCAAATCATGTCATGTGTTCGAGTTACGGTAGAATGCTAATGCTACCACATGTTTGTGTGTTTGCGCTTTGGTTGCTTCTGATGATGCTGTTGCCATATATTATATGTCTGCCATGTCTAGCGGTCCAGAATGCTGGATAGTGCGCTGCAGTCTTGCCAGAATCTGGCAACATGAGCCAGATTCAATCGCCAAGCACGGGCAGTCCTTGTGGTGGTCCCTCACATGGATCATTGATCCAAAGACTCAACAAAGCGCACATTCAAGCAGATTGGGAAATTTCGAAATTGCTGTAGAGCCAACATCTTTGGAAATGTATTGAAAAATGCCAGTTGCCAATATGTTTAAAAATAGGGACCATCCAGAGTTCCGTCACACACCTGAACCCATTTTCACCCCAGCTGGTGCTATGACATCTAGGTCATTCTAGATTGCTGGGCTTGGCGGGCCTTTGAGAATGATCCCAGCGTCACACAGCTCCAACCCCCACTCCCTGCTGAGTTGCACCGTCTCAAGCGATGTGGAAGGGCCTGAGGCCGATCCCAACAAGCTGAACACCTTGTGAACCCGGAGGTGACCGGGTGAATATAACTTCCGTGGCACGTCCGGATTTGATCAATAAGGTCAAGCATCCACTACAGTCATCTCATGTCATTCGTGAGCAGTGAGCAGTGCCAAAACATGCATGCCCTCTCTTGGTTTCAATCAGTGCCCCCACAAACAGAATGTTGAGAAAGTATATCAATATACAACAATATACGATGGTAATCATTTGGGGGGTTGGATCATCAGTTGGATCTCTATTTTATATCGGCCCCAGGGCTACCCATTTCACAATGGAAATCCACATCCCTCTTGGATTGGCGTTCCTTAGTTCATTCCTGTGAGGTTCCTGTCACGGCCTCCAGAGATGCTAAGCTTCCGGCTGCTTTGGCCCAACCAGAGGCAAACACGGCCTGCCCAGGAGACATACGAGGATGGTGAAACATGGGTGGCATGAAGCGTCCCATGTGACGCTTCAAGGGCCTGCAACCCATGAAATTCACAAACAGGCACCTGATGGCACCTGTGTTTGCATCCCCCGAAAAAGCTAGCTCCTTTCCTCGAATGTAGCTCTGTAGCTCTGGCACTCGACTCCAGCTTCCTTGCTGCCCATGGCTCTCCCGCCTTCAAATCTTCAAAGAAGTTGCAGTAATATGACCCACAAAGACTCAGGAACTGCCCACCATGTACCTCAAATATTGGGAAGCCCTAGTCCCCATGGTCTTGTTTTCAGTTCTGGGAAGCCTCACCCAGCTGTTTCTGGGACTTTTGGAAAGCCGCACCCGTCAATCCAGCCACCCCGCCACCCAGTGACCCATCACACCCGTCTCCCTGTCCCCAAAATGGCCAGTCTCTAGCGTCTATCCACACATTTCGGCCATCCCAAGCAGTGACTCCCCAAGCCTTATAATGGTGTGTGATCCGTCGCCCATGGCTAGGAGGATGAGGCGACCTCGTATTCGACCAGGCCAGGTAAATAACCCGCGACCAGGAGGAGCATCGGTATTGGAAACCGAGAGCTTGTGCAATCTATAAGCTGGAATCGCTGTTTGTTAGAGGTTTCTTGGTCTTGGTTCAGTGGCTGGCTGTATATATGTGTGCTTCCCAATCGTTGTTTCCGTGGGTGGGGAGCCCTTTCTCTAATTTTCTTTGAATGGCCTCGCCTCGCCTCATACCTGTGTGGGGGAACTCTTTCAATGATGTGTCTCAGTAGACAACGGGGCCTGAGTCATGGCCTGATAACACAGCTGACTTGACAAGACCCATGAAGCAGTCCAGCATGACCCTGTGCGCCGTGGATGATGGGGAAGACTGCCGATGACGGAAATCCATTCAACATTGGAAGCAAGTATATAAATATATAACTTCTCATATAACTAAGGACTAAGGCACACTAAGCCATCTATCTACATCAACCTTCAAATTAAAACGCCCAGCATTGCCGCACAGACTGCGCAAGCTACACGCCAAACAAACTAAGAGCTTCCTGTCCACTTTTCAGTTCACTTAATGTTCTCCTAGTTCGGTGACCGAGGGGGCTCCAGCATACTGTAGTGCTGCAGGATCAGTTGAGTTTTCACACTCCCCTTGGATCAGAACCTGAAAACGAATCCAAACATGATCTTTTTGCCTTTGCCCTCTCCTCTTGCAACGTTGGACTCCAAAAGGCTTCCCAAGCCTTCGTCGACACCGCATCGGGCGTGCCCTGACGATGGAAGCTGTGGCGCTACAGTCACCAACACCCATCCGACGTGGTCCGGATTGAACGACACCCTTACATGAATCCAACGATATGTATAGTGACGGACAATCACTTAGAACATGCAGCGAGAGGTTCTAAGTGTCCGGCTTAGAACAATGGAAAAACCCACCACTTAAAACGCAAAACTCAATAAATGGAGCCCCGATTAATGTTTGTTTGTCGCAACATCTGCAAATATGTGTATATCAGTATATAGTGGATTTTGGTTTGCATGGGACATCATGGGACCCTATTCAATGGCGGACCTAACTATGGAAAAAGGAACGAGTTCTGCCTACTTGCATTGTTCCAAGTGTGTGGCAGGGCAGGACTGTGTGTGAACAGTCAAGGGATTTTCAGCTTTCATGTTATTTTCCTTATCATGTTCTAGTTGTGGGTTCTGGAATGTTCTAAGCACAGCACTAAGAACAAACATTTTCTGGATATTCTGACGCCGTTCTAAGTGCGTGTTCAGCGTTTTGGAAACTGCTTTTTGTTCTAAGTGATTGTCCGTCGCTATATGTGTACATTAAACATATGCAAGTACTAAATGGCAATGGAACATGTCCTGTATACACAGCAGCTGTGCCATTTTGCAGTCCCCACTGTGTCAGATTCACACAAACAATTGCAAAGGGAAGTCGTGACTTTGTGGGATTTGATTTGTGGGAAGAAACTTATGCACTTGAGCTGCTTTTGCCCAGCCATTGAGACCTAATATGACCCAACATGGCAATGGAAGGTGCAGTCACGCACTTCGCTCAAGCAATGAAACTGGCCAATGTGCCCCAACTCGTGAATTGAATCAGTTCTGGTTCACCAGTCACACTCCACCACCAACGTACAAAAAGTCACACTAAAGTCTGATCCTTGTTTTGGTGGAATTTGCTGGACTCCGAGAAAACAAAAAACACACTGATCCACACGGCACTTTGGATGTTCAAAGCTCGGTCTTTTCGTACCTCGGCGGCGACCTACCTGGGTCTCCCTCGCATTGGACCCCAAACCGCACCACCTCACTGCACCTTGCCCCTCGTGTCGCCCGGATCACTCTTTGAACAAAAAAACAGCACAACAGCTGGTGACAAGGTTCGACTTCTCCAAGCTAGCCGTGCATTTTTGGGGGCTGGTGACCAGCTTCTAAAGTTTATGAAGCAAAGGAATCTGGAACAAACACACAAAGCTGATCGCGTTCTTTTTGCGCGAGCCTTCTGGAATTCAGAAATGCTGTAAACCTACAACAGCATCTGCACTTGGCATCATCCTCCAACCCTCTTTGGGATCCGTGAGGAGCTAAACATGTCGAGCATGCGGCTAATCATGCTAGGCTGCTAGTCTGAAAAATCCTCTCAACTACTTGTTCCAAAGCCTCTGAATCAATTTGATCAACTGGTGGTTCCTTCTAACATCTTCTGACCTTCAACTCACCACCCCAAAAGATTTATTGGTCGTCCAGGAAGCTCTACTGCCCAGTGAAACATCGGTCTCATCGGTGCTGGTCTCACTTCAGCTTTGCTGCTTCCAGCGATGCCAGGATCGCATCCATCTCAGGGTCCGCTGCAGGTGGCAGGGCGGGGACCTTGTCCTTGGTGACGCATTCTGGTCGATCCGGCGCCAACAAGAAACCTTTGACGAATGCGAAGGTCTGAGAGTTTCCAGTGGATCTTTAATCTTGCGATGCTTCCTTCTCCGAAGGCAGAACGGACTTCGAGCTGGAGTTCGAGTGGGGCAGAACGCGAGTAAAAAGAAGCGGTCCCAAACACGAACCCGGAGGAACGGTCCCGTCCGCGCCGCAAGGCCCCAGCGATCTACGTCGATGAGGGCCCGCGAAATCAAAATGTTCAAAATGGATTTTGCGAGCGAACATCTTCAGAAGGGTTGTGCGTGCTGGTGGGACTCTGATCTTGAAGGCTGGAAGGTTGAAAGTTAACAGAAAATGGATCATCACTGGCAGTGGGTCCCTCATTTGTCTCAAACACAAATTGAGATGAGACACAAACATGGGTGTTTCACATTTTTGTGGAAACCACCCGAAAGCCATGGCTTGGTTGCACTTGTTGGGTGCCCCTATCTAGAGATATGCACAAATCGCTTCCTGATTGTGTCGGGGCTCTGGTTCATACAGCAGCTCCTTGAAGAATAAGGAGGTAAACCTCAGTTGGCCAAAGGTAGTGAAGTAGAATATCGCCCAAACACACCACCTTCCGATGTAAACTGCACCCACCGCTGGGCCAAAGGGATCGTGGTCATAGTCAATGTCAATTACATGGTGAAACGCTGTGCTGGGAATAGTCCGGAATAGTCATAGCCAGTGGCCATCACGTATGGGTTTCAGACTGCTTAAGGATTTGGATGGCCTGGTAGATCGGCAGTGAAAGCATCGCGCCCTGGCATGAAAACTCTACTAGTCCACTTAAGTTGACTAAAAAGTTCCTGGACATGTGCAAACCGGGCAACAAGCCGGGTATTTTCTTGGACAAATTACCTAACTAGCCTAACCATCCTAACCCAACAAAACACGGCTCACCTTGTTTAACAAACATAGTTCTCGAGAATACATTTTTACAGTAACATGGTGCAAAATCCACTATAGATTATCAAGTACCTCCATGATTGAATGGTGACTGCAAACATGTTCCCATATACAAAACTAAAATATATGGATATATCCTGCCTTGAAAACTCAATGTTCCGCCTGAGTGATTCCGCAAATTGAAAGTCTGACACTAGAAGGCTGAACAACCACCAACTTGCTCTGCATGACATGTTTAGTTGATCAAGTTGCTGCTTCGTTTCCAAGACTTCCTCTGCACTTCGTGTGATGGTCTCACCAACCCGGTCGGCCTCATGCATCGAAAGTGGTCTGGAGAAAAGAACAAAGGCATAGAGGTTCTTTCACAGAATTTGTAATTCACTTGATCCAGGATCTGGTAAATCGCACCACTTGACATACCCTCTCTCAAGCAGATATGGATGTGGATGCATGACCCCTGGAAAGAACATTCTCCTCTCCAAACAGGGGGTCCACGTCCATATTTGCTTCAGGGAGAGTGTTTCCATGGACATTGGGACCTTCCAAGTTTGTCCCTCTCCAATTGACATAGGACGCCTTTCAAGTCGGACCTGAAACATTTCCGTCATACAAACTTCGAGAGTCAATCCTCTTTCAAGTTCTTGATGCTTTCGGACCTAGTGGGAGTGGGGTCCTACTGGCATCAGCATCGGTCTGATTTCTCACACTGGGTGCTGGCTTCTGAACAAGACATGCCACTACAAACATCAACACTACAAACATCAGCACAGAATCAGCGATCATGTAGCGTGTCCTCATTGACTCGTGCAGTTTACTATATACCATAGGCCGAGCACTGGAGTGCTTCTCTCTTTCTCGCCGTCGCGAGAAAGAGACCGCAGCCAGGGCTGCGTAGCATGAGCGTGATGCTTTGGTTTGCTGACTGGGACCGGACATGCTTTAGTTTGCATACCAGGACCATCGTTACCGTAAGGGTCATCATGAGGAATATCGTGCCAGGTATATATCCAATGTCGCTATCGGATCGCATCGTCCAGCGATGCATACTCTGGGCTCTTCTGCTGCGACGTGATTGCAACACGTTCCCTGTGGGCCTCCGAGGTCATTAACTGTTGCAAGAAATGGGCATCCTGGTCCTATACTCTTACACTGAAGATATCGATGCAATTGTCTTTCCAATCTACTATTGCGGGAAATAAATGGATCAATTTCCAGAGTGTAATTATATACAATGCGATGTGTGATCAAATCAGTTTCATGGCTTCTTCTTTGCTCTCCAACTTGCTTAAGGTAGCCAGTGAACAACTTCTTCAATAAGTAAACTCCAGTTGTGTTCCTTCTTCTTCTCCACTACATGTTTGCACCGCTGATTTGGTATCAACAACAAGGGCTTAAGGCCAAAAGTTGCACAAGCCACCCAAAAGACCCCATTTTCGCACCTTCCGTGCGCGGGCATCTGAGTTGCTGCCCTTGAAGCTGGTGACCTTGGAGGTGTAACGGCTAGAGCTTCGACCTGGTTTTGGCAGCTTCAACCAGGTCTAAACCCCTGCTGATGGGAATGGATGTGCTCGAGTTCCGCCGACTTCCGCCGGCTTGATTTGCAGGAAGCCCTTCTTATGGTACCAACTGCAGTGCTGGAGGGTCACCTTATCCAACAAAACACCTAGCCTATCCCCCCGTTCCCCCCTTGCCCACCAACCAGAAAGTTCCCTCATGTCCCTCCTATCTTGCCAATTGCCGGGTCATGTGATGCCCACCCCAGGGAATCAACAAAGCTGGCGACCCCTGTCCAATGTGCTTCGCCAAGTCGCGGTGAAAACGATCTGCCCCGCCTCCTTGACCCAAGTCCCAGCCCCCTCGGCCACGGAGCTGCCGCGAGCGTGGCCAACGTCGAAGCCAGAGCGCTCCTCACTGGTCCATGTCCCATCATCCTTCAACCTGACGAAGAAAAGGAAAGCAAGACCTGCAAGACCTGCTGCAAGACCTGCCAGCCTCTAGAAGACTCAAAAGATTTCATCTGGCATCTAACCAATGTAGACTGCAGGAAGGCAACCCCCTCTCAATGAACTGCCGGCTGCGGTTGGGACCAGAAATTGGTCTCAACACAGGCGGCAACAAGACTTTCAGTGGTGAGTTTTTGACCCCTGAACAAGGGCGAACTTGGAATGAACACAGTGGCTTCTTCATCACCTTTCGGGAGGACTGCGCCGTTGGAGCTCCCACGCGTATCCAACCCATAGAGGAAAATTGTCATCCGATCCATATCCATGATGATTTCAGGGAGTGTATAGTGTATAGTGTATATATATATATATTATAGTCTAATTGAACCCGTTGAGACCATCTTTGCTTGGCAAAACACCAGAGGTATCAAGTCTGTATTCCAAACCTATGGGACTGAAGCAGATCCACTCATGGGCGATGAGCTGCCCATGTCACATCGCTTTCACATTGTTTAGGTCCCATGGAAAAAGCAACTTTCCAGGTCGTGACACTAGCACTCTGTTCCTTTAGGAACTTGTTCTTTATTGTTGCATATATATATACTATATACAGTGGATGTCGTGTTCCCATCGCTGTCAGGTCAAAGGCGGCTGTTGCTCCAGTCCTCTTGACGCTCCCAAGGATCCGTAGTCAGTGACATTGAGAACAAACGCCTTGAGAAAAATAAAAAACAAATATGTGTATGTATATAGATATACATGTGTGTATAGTGGCCCAAGAAAAGTGTTGTTTCACCCGGCCAAGCAGCTCAAAGGTGACTTTGCACCATTTACCTCCATCGCCTCAGTTTTGCAGAATCGTTTTTGACTTAAAGCAAGTGAGCAACAAGATCACATGCGATAGCGGATAGTGCACCAGGACCTCGTGGGAATACACAGCTGGTTGTGACACTAAACAGCTCACCCGCACGAGAACGGGTTAGAGAGATTGCACGCCTGAAGCCATCACCGACCTGGACCCCCTGGCCAGCCCAAATAGAAGAGGGCCACCAGCATCATTCTGTCGGGTAGATTGCTGATTCATAACCATATGGAGATGTAAATCCATTCAGATAGGGAGCTTTATCAATCAACAGTCTACATTACTACCCACTCACAACTTCACGAGTGCTCAAAAAGGAATCATCACAAAGACGGCGCCACCATGGCGGGCACGGGAAATGGATTCACCAAGGGGCCGGAGTTGGCTTCGAACTTCATGCGCCCGGAGTGCCGGAGTCCAACGCCCCCAGCCCGGCCGGGTCGTCACAGCTGAGGCCGAAGAGAGGGGCGCCGGAAAGCTGTGTCTCGAGCCCCTTGCACCTTGAGTGACCTGGACTAGTCATCAGTAGTCATCCTTTCTTTGGGGGGAATGGTGTGGAACAGCTCATGTCTACTCTCATGTCTCATGTCCATTGATGTTAATAAGACTATTCCTACTGGCTTTGCATCCTCCAACCTTCAACGCTTGTGGCTTGTGCCAATGTATAGCTGAAACGGTTGCTTCCACACCAAACCCCACTCGACTAACTCACTCCCTGCACCCTCAAGCCTTGAGAGCCTTCTTGAATGACCTGCAGCAAAGCCGTAAGAAGGCTCCAGGTCTGGTCATGGCCAAGCGCTTTGGTGAGATGTTGACGGCACAAACGGCACATTCTGGCCCAAGGGGCTGGTTCACTTCCTCAAATGGGGTCCATGTCTGGCAAATTGTGACTCAAACGATGGGCAGGAAAGGACGCGGAAGTAGATGTGCCAGGAGATTGTTTGGTGGGGTGCAGCGTGAGGCCTGTGTGCTGCATTTATAATTAATAAAGCGGATGCTTTCTGTGGGACCTGGGTGTGCAAAAAAATGTGATCAAATGAGCTGCCCAAAATTGCGTGTTCCGCTTTGGCGGCTTATGATTCTCATTCATTTTCACATCTTTCGAATGACACCTCGCCCTCGAGCTTCCCAAAAGCATTCTCTCAACAACAACAGTTCACCTTCCACCCGACGCACGAGCTCAAGGAGACCCCAAACCGCGGAGACCGTGCCGAGTCTTCGAGCGGAAAGGCCACCCACGTCGATGCCAATGCGTCGATGAGTGGCGTGGACGACGAAGCGAGGATGACAATGGCGCCCCGGTTCGCCTGTAGCCCGTAGCCGGGCAAACTTGCGCCTGCTTGGCGGAGAAGCTGCTTGAAGCAACTGAAATAATAACTGATATGACAACTTATCTAAACAAATGCCCCCGCCCCTATCCATGTGGAATTGGTTTGGGCTGGGATTCTCATACACCTTGTCCTTGCCTTTGTGATCTCTGTGGTTCCCTCTCATATCGTGATACCCATCAACGGCCGACTCAAATCCCAATTGCTGGTGAACCATCTGGGGTTGCACCGAACAGGGTTTGCTTGACCAAGGATACACTAGACTTTTCAACCCCAACCGGCACGCAGCCAAAAGGTCCATGAGAGAGGTACCAATGGCAAACAGAACATGTGAGAAAGGTGCCAATTCAGGTCTTGAAGGACGAACATCAGCAAACCAATTCTATCCCGACATCTGAAATCATCTCAAAATGTCACCACAACTCAACACAAAATGCCGTCTCGTTTTAAACAAAGTCCTGAAGGAAAAATCCGCAAATCGAGGTACTAGCAGTGGCCACTCAGCGGTTGTGGCCGCAGAACCAGCAAGCACCGAACGCGTCAGACGTGTCCCCAAGGGCCATCGAAGCAACTCCCCTGGCCCAGCACTGTTCCTTACACCCTCTGCCTGCACGCCATGAAAGCACCACTCAACGCCATGGCAGTCAGTGGCCATCCATTCTCCGAAAGATCTGTGGCACTGCGTCTGATTCTGATAGGTTGAAATCCAACACACATGGTTTGAGTTGGTGCTTAACAAACAACTCACACAACATGCCATCGAAAGGGCATGGTCATGGTTGACTCCTCATTCCCCTCTTCAGTTTTGGGCCAAGAACCTGACATGCTACCTCTAGTCTAGTATTATAATGTATTGTTGCTCTTTGGCGTTTGAGTAAACTACCTACCTGCCTGCCTGCCTACCTACTTACCTACCATTGTGTCTGAAAACAGAGGAGGCCCCGATTTCCAACCTCTGGAAGATCAGCGACCGGCCACATCTCCGCCTTATCTGTACGTGATTTCTGGATCATGTTGAATAGTTTGTGATTTCTGATTCTGAACGCCTCCATCGGCTCTTGAAAATTCTGCACAGCAGCACGCATGAGCGGTTTCTGACGGAAGTAATACGCGATCTTGGATTTCCAAGTGCATTGAGTTGTGTTGTGGTGTGTGAACTCCAAATTGATCATCCGGAAAAAACACGTTGCAGTAGCTTGAAGTTCCAAATTGGAGTGGAGCCAAGCTTTTGAATGCAACCGAGCATGCTTTGACCGGTGCGCTTCCGGGTCAAAAATCGAAGGGAACGGAGGCCACATTAAACGTGCTCGATACCCAATCCTTTTCGCTCGGTCCCTGCTCTGCCATCAAACTCATCCCGCTCTTAGCCGGTGAGTCTGTGGGTGAGATCCGTACTGAGAACAGCCTCAGTGGTCCCTTTCACCAGGCCATTGGCCTCGCAAAAGGCTTCCCAATAGTGCAAATCCTCAGGTGACGCGTCAAATGGCCCCCCCCCCAGGCACACCATGTGTGCCACGCATGATGTTAGAAGGCCGCTGTGCGAATGCTGCAAGTCCCAGGGCTCTAACATCCTCGGTCGACCCCATAGTGCTTCTGAGAAAGTGGGTGCAAGCAACTTTTCACGTTCAGTTGATTTCTTGGAGGGGAAACAATGGAAATAACGTGCGTCAGGGTGTATGGGTTTGGGAAAATGATAGAAAATAGAGGCCCATCAACAATTGACAAGGTTCCCATAATTCAGACTCCGGGATGAACACATGATTATGAACACATATGAACTGCACACCTCGACTCTGCAGCTGTCCAACACGCCAAACGTTTGGCTTCTCAACATGGGGGGGGACGGGGGAAGTATTCCTTTTGTCCGTTTTCCCTAAAGATACTTGCCCCGTGTTGGCATGATTGAAGGATTTCAAGGGGCAACCATCCTTTCTGCATGGACAGGTGTTGGGGATGCAAAAGCAAAACACCGTAAACAAAAACATATGAATAGCCTACATTCGTCCTGATGACAAGCAACTCGACCATAAGGTTATATATATATATATACCATTACATGCCAATTCACATTGCTATTGTTGCTTGAGGGTTCATGGTCATGTGGTGGTGCCCTCCTGCCTGCTGAGCCCTCGTCCGACCGTCCAACCATACCATTCGGTGACGCAAAGAGTTGCTCCAAGACACGTTGCCCTTGTAGAAGGCATAAATGAGTTCCAAGCCACTCATGGAAAGCCCAATCAAAATGATCCTAGGCTAACAAGCGAGCCCTGGTTTGCGAGCCCTGCGAAAATCGAATCGAATGGAATGGTACCTTCCTCGCTGTTCAACTGGAGGACAGCAAAACGCAACCAATGAACGTGTATACTGTATATAAATTGAAACCGGCCCATATTAGATATACTATATATATATGTGTGTGTTGTTGTTGCTGCTGTTCTTGTTGTTGTTGCTGCTGCTCCTGGTGTTGTTAGTGCTGATGTTACTTGTTGCTCCGAATGCGAGATGTACTTGGAGGTGTGACATGTGCGAACCCGTGCACCTTTGACAAACAATATAGGATCGAGCATGTCCTGTGGATCAGGGGAGGTTTCATCAAAACAGCACCACGTTCTGGTAGTTATATTCCCCCAAAAAGGCATCCGTACTGAATCCGTACCCAAGCAAGCAAGTGTTTGGAGTATGAGTATGGGTTCTACGGTTATCTAAGCATGTATTCAGGTGTATCATGCAACAGCTTCACTCCGTGAGTGCCAAGTGTTTTTCTGTTTCTGCAGCTTCCGGCAGCACAAGTTCATGGACTCCTACTGCCAACTGTTGATCGTCCAAAAGCACCCTTTGGGAGGTGTATCACTACTGGACTGCAAACGGTCTGTGTCTGTTTGTTGCGCTGGTGCTGTCTCTGCCAATCACTCGTAGCCACATCAGTTGAGTGGTTCATATACTGTAATAGTAATCCAATTATATCATTCAACATCGTTCAACCAATGAAGAAACAAACTGAAATGTTCCTCTTGACCAACAATATTCTGCCCAGTTGCAAAAGGGCAATCTGCCATGGCCGGCGCTCTGGCAGCATCAGGAGGCCTCACAGCAAAAAATATGCAATTTGTTGAAATAAAAACATTTACCCAACAGGTGCCATCTGTGCAATGATATATATTGTACATGTATATATATATACGCAAAATGCTGTTCACTCATAAACAGTTCAACATCTAAAGAACATGAAGCATCATAGTGGAACAATGGAACAATCAACTCAAGGCTACTACTTGCATGAGAATCCGATTGGGGTGTGTGTGTGTGTGTCTCTGGTTGTCTCCCAGCCAGATCGCGAAGGTTCCAGGGCAAAACAATGCTAAAAGGTATGTATATAGATGTTGAATTTGAGCTGCGACTGGGTGGGGGAAGAAACACGGTCACCTAAGGTGTATTTCGCAGTAGTTGGGCTCTGTTGGTTTCTAATCAACTGCTATATGCCCTGGATCTTGAAATCAAAGAGTATGGGTATCAGAGTTGTTTTCTTCGAGCTTCAGAACTGTGTGTGTGTGCTTGTCACATACTCAAACCAGGGTGGTGATGCTGTCATTTTTGGATATGTTGCATCTGCTCACTGCCGGTGTAAAAGCTGTCCTCATGTATTCTGTATTCTCTCTTTTCTTCTTCTTCTTCTTCTTCCTCTTCTCCTTCAGCTCCATGGCACAGGCTCCAGTGCGTCTCAGTGGGTGTCTTCATTTTGAACATTTTGAGACATCTGGTGCTACGAAAAGGGCAGTCTTTGGCCTGTGTCATCTCCATCCATGTCACCCAAAGACCCAGCAGCACCAGAAACTTCGTACAGCGACGGCGAATTGTCCGTCAAACTCGCGCGAAACCTGCCAATCCTACTTCGATGACAGGCTGGGGTCCGGCCTATGCCTCCACAAAGGATCAAGAACTGCTGCCTCCAAACAATAGGGCTGAACCACATCGTGAGGCACATCACCTGACTCTTTTCCGGTGCACCGAGAAGTAAGTAGGTCATGTCTCATGTAGATGGGGTCCAAAATCCATCCCAGCGCACCCAAAGCGTGGCATGCTGCGCCGCTGCTGTGCTTTTTGAATGACAAGAGCCTCACCCATTTATATGAAACCAACTTTTGATGAATTTTGGAGCTACCAACATGGGCCGGTCGGTTCGACAAGGGCATGTGCTTTCTATGACACAGCTTCAGGAAAACCAGCTTGTAGGTTTGTAGGCATGTTCCACGTCAAAGGAACTGAAAGCCTGCTCCAGGCATTTGTCTTCCCCGTCACAATCTTGAAGTTTATGCAAAGCATTACAAAGCCATGGGCTGTCATAACAGCAGCAGCGAGCTCAATGAGTCCTTATTCAAGAGGAACTTTGGACTCACCAAGTCGAAGGTGTAGAGTTAAGTTTAAAGGTTCATTGCTTGGGCGGGGGAATCCGTTCCATCTCCGTTGTGAGCATGACGATCCTGTTGCAGCAAACCCAGCGTAAATATCAAACCCGAGTGCCCTCTTGCTTAACCTAGCCACCTTGCACCACCCTCGAACCCCCATAGGCCCTATGGCCATTTCACACCGGGTGACTGCGATCATGGCGAAGGTGCTCAAGGCATGTTTCCAGTGTCCAGTGAGGCAGCTCAGAAGCATGTTGCCTCATGAGGAGCATGGTGTCAATGAGGGAGAGCAACCGACTGAATGGCCATCAATTTGCAAGGAATCACTTTCTTATACTTTATTAACACCGTGGTTTAGAGACGTTCTGGTGTAAATTATTAATAGTGCTATGAAACATGGAGGAATAGCAAACTTCCAAAATTTGATTATATTCCATCCCAGCGTGACAACCCCTGCCTCACAGCACTTGGACTGTTCCACTTTCAGCCAAAGGGTAGGTTATAAAATCCTTGACCAAAGCTTCAAAAGAGGATCTGATGGATCTGACCTTTGGAACTTGATCATAAAAACCTTTGGCCTCGGCCAATGTTCAGAAACTGCGACGTTCGTGTGGAGGTGACGTTCGGGTGACGCATTCTGGAGGTGGCCATCCTTTCGTCTCTTCGCAGTGTGTGGACATCATCCACATCATCCACACACTGCAGGACTCCTGGACTCATCTCCCTTCCTTCGGACCGTTTTTGCTGTCGAAGAACCGGTGAGGAATCCGATGTTGGCACCCGCGCCAATGATGCCTGCCAGGTTTTTGCACGCAGCGACGACCAGAAAGTCGAGGGGGAGACAAAGCCAACTACCCATCGGGTATTAAGAAACTACCCATCGGGTATTAAGACATATTAAGTCTGAAACCACGTTGATCATATACTGAATTAAGACATGTTAAGACTGTCAGGCCCAAAAAGAACGTACAGCAAACTTGATGTAACTTGCACATCTTAAACTCTTCGATGCTCCTCACCCTTGCTAAAATCAAGCAAACAATATGATGGACAAGGAAGGTCCTTCCACTGTATTCACACCACCTCTGTGAAGGTTTCACCTGCTGAATGTACGAGTGTCACTTCTCGCAGTGTTTGCCCAGCGGGTGCATGCTCTGTGGGCACTGAGGTGATTTGCTGGTTCATGAAATCAGGGAGAGGATGCATGTTTGAACCGATCTCAGAGTAGACCGACCGATAGCACAAACCATCACAAACCCAAGGTGGTGTACACATCGGTCCCCATCGAACATATTCAAGCATAGCAGCATAGCCTAAGCCTATATAAGTCTAGGGCTTTGCGGCATCCGCCGTCCACTTGTTAGGAGATCGCGCCAAAAAACGCGAAGAATTCGACTCGCGACCGCCTGTGCATCCGGCCGACGAGAGGTGTGACAGGATTGCACCGGCCAGCGAGGCAAAAAGGATCAGACCTGGCGAAGGAGCAAAGGATCAGACCTTCTGCAGCGACGGTTCGCACAGGTTGCTGAGCAGGTTCGGAGGGGAACCCCCCCCAGCCGGCAAGTGGAAGTTAAGGAAAGATCAAAGGAAACCAAAATGGGAAAAAGAACGGGAGTGGGGTGGGGGTGAAACTGTTTCACTTAATTCTTCCTTCCGGCCCAAATGGAGTCGGATGGAGTGGGTTTTTGCATGTTGATGATGAGAAGAGACAGTGCACCTCCCGAAACTATCATGCTCCTCTATGTCACTATGATCAAATCCCTGGCCTGCAGGCCAATGGCTTCATTTTCAATCAATAATTATATATATGCATATTTCTGGGAGGGTGCTCATATCAGTACGATTGCACAAATGCATTAGACTTCAAAAGAAGTATATGTGTATATGTATATACACATACACAACACACATATATATATATATATATTTAATAACACATACCGCTTGAAATTGAAGCAAATCAAAGTCCACTGAACATGCTTAGAATGTGAAACAGAACCATGTTGCATGTATGTGCACGCATGTGCATGCCACATGTTTCCTTCCCTTGGCAATACCACAACATCATATGACATCAGCATACTCGACAAAGTTCCGCAGTCCGTGTTCAGCCGCGGACTTTGGGGACCGGTCGGGAACCGCCCTTCGCAGCCCGCGAACCCGGACTTTGGGCATCCGGACTCCGCGGTACTCCGGGACTCTCCCATGACCATTGAAGCAACCCAAAAGTTATCCCTGGGAAGCACTTGTGGACGATTTCCATCTGCCCTCACACACGTCTCGTGACGTTTTGGACCAACCACCATCACTGGGCCTCTGCTCATGCATTGGGCCTCAGTTCGGTGGTTTGGTGCAAGTTTGTGGCACGCATATCACAGCCAAGATGCATACATTCACATTTCACATCTAGATTTTACATCTAGATTCAAAATCCCAGTTGGATCATTTTGGACAAAACTCGATATAAACCACTTGGAAATTGAACCACTAAATGTGGAAGACCACTGCCTGAAAATCAACGAATTAATAAAACACACCGCTCCACATGCAAAATCGGCATCGTTGTGGTTTGGTCAGTCTGGAGCCATCACCCCCGGAATCTATCAACACTACAAATGTGGAAATGTCCGTGTAACCAGCAAAAAGTAATAAGGAAGCAACATGAAACAACATCTCAAAAAAATAGAACTATATAAACAAAAACGTCGGATTCCCAACCAAACCCAAAAACAGCGTGCGAAGAAGTCCAAAGGGCGGTGGGGGTGACAAAGAAGTTGCCGTGTAGCATGCCCAGCAGGTTCACCTGCAACTGTCGCCGTCAAGCATGTTCTTTTTCTCCGGCCATATAGACAAGTATATATATATATATTATATGTATATATATGTACACAAATATACACATATGTCGTCTATTGTATGTGTAGATGCCAATACACATATATGTTCATTGCTTTTCCACCTTGCTTGACTCTCCCAACCTTTGGGAGCACCGTAATTAGGCGTCGATAAAGATCGAATCATAAGCATAAGCAAGTCGCACCGGTCAGAAGCACCGGTCGCATAAAAAAAGAAACACCATTCCATGGCAAGGGGCAAGATTGAACCCACATTATTTGAACACGGTTGACAAACCAGCCCGAAGATGTGCACCCGGATTTCAGGAACCTTGTGCATGTGCTCTCCTCAATCCCAATAAATTCGTCGGCAGCTCTGGAACGCTGGCCACGATTCGCTAGGGTCGCAACTCTCAAAGGGCCTGGTGAACCCTCCGCTGACCCGGCCCTTGCACACTCTGCTCGAAGAAAACGAGGGAAGACTGGGCTTCTGAAACAATACCACACTCGCATTCATGCAAGCATGCAAGACATTGCAAAACTGATTTAAAAAAAAGGATCAATAATTGAAACGAGTATATATATATACACTGTATATATATAAGTATATCTATACACACCCACACATCACACATAAGAAAAAATCATGTCGCCAAGCCAGGATTTACTCAGGAAAGCTTCTTCCATGAAAAGCTCCCAAACCCTATGAACCTTGCTTGCATTGGTTGGATCACTTGCACAAGGTGTTTATAGAGATTTGTAGAGCAACCTGCCGACCTAATAATTGTACATTTGAACCCGCCCATGATAAACAAACATTGGCCGGGCCGCTCAAAGTTGTGCAAACCCACCTTCTATCACTACTATAAAAGCAAAAAATCAAGTCGGACTGGTGGCTGAAACTTCTTTGCAAGGAGGTAAGCAAGTTACTAAGCCTTGCTCGTGCCATGTCTTTCCATGGATTTGAAGCTTTTCCAAGACATTTGGTTCGGTCATAGAAACATCACAGTGTCTACATGTAAAGCTATCAATATGTATATATTCAATTGTATTCATCACTAGACTCAGCAGCATCTTGCCAACATCTGAATCTGGCTATGTCCCTAGCTTCCAAATCTGTCCACCGAGTCCCGGTTTTCCGGGCCACTGTGGTCTGACCGCACCGAACTGCGAGCACGCGAGACGCAAAACATGCGCGCCTTGATGATGAAGAAACCCAGCAAGACCAGACCCATGCCGGAGAGCGCAGCGAGACTGAGCCTGAGGAGATTCAACAGGGGTAGGCGATGGTCGCGAGAAGCCGCAAAAATGTAGCCATTTCCCTGAGAAAAGAATACGGCAGCTTCACTCCTACAGCTCATGGTCTCGAATAGGACAATCATCAAAGCTTAGGGTGCTCGAGGTGAGACCTATTCCTATGTGTGGCATGTTAATAGGGACACCCCCCAACCAATGGGTTTGGTCTACGTATTTAATTCTGTCTATTTATATACAAACCCATATCTTGAAACATGAACTCAGCCAGCAGAAAGGGAGGGGCGCTTCCGCCACTCGATGTCGACCGCACTCGGATCAGAAATCTGCCTCTCGTTTGGCAAGCCCTATGGCCAATCCTTGAATTGTGCAACTGATCCACGTCTCCCTTGCATTCTGCGTGAGGCCTTGACGTGGTTGGTTGGCCTGGCTGTGGCTGTGTCTGTGTCGTGGCACTGGATGCACCTATGATGCCACCCAATACGATGCGTTACTTACCAGCCTACCAAAAAATATATGAATCAGCATAGACAGCCACACTCAAGGTCTGTTGGCATCCAACTCCACAGCCGTGCCCCGAATCAAATTCTGTGACACTTATCGAGCTGGATGTGCTGCAAGGATCTGGCCGGAGAGGAGGGGATGGAGCATCTGGCGCACAGAAACCAACAGAAACGGGGGGCCGAACTTCCTCACCAAGCATGCCGACACGAGGTTGAGGAGGCGCCACAAGCGGTGAACTGCAGCGCAATATTGAATGATAAAATCATGGTGTCCACCTCGTAGTTTGATCGGCAGCTAGCGATGAGCACGCGCTTCTCTGATGACAAATGAGATCAGCACTGCTGTGTGCATGGCTGGAGTTGAACCTCGAATCCAGAATGCGACACGTTGTGTCATTTTGTGAGGCACTGCAACATCAAAGGTTTGTTGAGGAACCCAGTGTTCTTCGGAAACAAACTTGACTTGGCGCTCGGATGAAGAATTTGCCAGTCCCCCTCGCGCTGATTGGATTCACCTTGGCGCCCTGTAGAGTTCCAGGCACTCACGGAATGCCCATCCTTCTTCGTGCGTCGAAAAATGGGCCACAGGCCCGCACACCCACACACATTTAGAAGAGACCTCGCAAGAGCTCCGTTGTCGTGCGCACTTTACGATGTGCATTAGACGACCTTTCCAAAAAGGAGAACGGGAAAATGGCCCGGAAAACGGAACGGCGAACAGTCTGAAAGCAACATCATCGAGTGAAACAGGTGACTTGGCGTCCATGAAGCGGATATATATAACTGCCAGAGCTTCGTTGGGCAACGGAAGAACGGTCGCACCATCCTACATGGCTCGGTGCTTCGGTACAAATGGTGTCCCCTGCAGTGCACAGGGCTTGACACACACACAAACGATGTCCAGGTGTGAGATAGACTTGATGCAAACCATGCATCATAATACATACCTATGGCGTTCTCTGTGCTGTATCGGGGTGACACAATATCAGTTTTGGGAACCAGCTCCATGCCCGGTGGTCAAGTAGCTGGATCACGTCCCCGTACCGCCGACGCTCCGTTGAATCCGCCGGTGTCCTCCCGTCCTCCCAGCACCAAGACGCTTCCGGTAGCTCCGTGTCCGAAGGTATTCCAGGGCAGCGTTCATCAGCGCAAAGCAAAAGCACGCTGTGGCCTGAGGCCACAAGAAGCTGCGTTTGGGAGGTCTGTCTATTGACGGGCAATGGGGAGGTTGAAAGTTCTTGGAGATGTAAACCGGTCACTCGGCCAGAACAGAACCTCTTGTGCAGGCACAAAAAAACATTAAAAAACACCCATGTCGTTGGTTTGGCCGCTTTTGCTCACGCTGCGCGTAGCTCAATGGTTCTCAACGCCCCAGGTCTTTATATTAGGGTATAAAACGAGCAGCCAGGTGGCTGAAGTGGAGACATCAAGGTCGCTCTAGGTCAACTTCCTTCTCAAATCTCTCAGGACACCAACAAAGCTGGAGGACCAAACATTGACCAAGTAGGGGGAAGGATTAGTAAGGATCGTCCCTTTTCAGCGGCCACAAGCCTAAAATGACCTCAATGACCTCCACACACCGAATGCAACAGGTCGAATCGCGAATCCTCCTTGGAGATCCGCTGAAACATCCAAACTGCCGCCAACGGGCCTAAACGTTCGCACAATCACCCGCTCTAACGTTGTGGGCGAAGTTGCACGAGGTTCGTGGGCTCTTTCGGCATTAAAAACAAATAACATAGCCTTAGCTGTAGAATTGAAAGGGTTGTGGATCAAAACCTCCAATCGTCCTGCTCCACTATGAACAGTTGTTTACATGTTCAAAGAACTCATCCCAGAAAGGGTGTGCACAACCAATCGCCACAGCGTAATTAAGTCCGTATGGGACCTTGTCTGTGCTCCAATTTCTTCGTATATAACCAATGTTCCCGTGTTTGACCTTGGCCAATTTTATGAAACATTCTTAATCAGCGGAGATATGAATGAACTCTTTCAGAGGAAAACGGCGAGGCGTGGCATGCGAGCCACACCGTCTTCCAGCCGAGACAGGTTAGTCCACCTATTATGTTTATCCAGGATTTATATATCCTCTCTTGCAAGGACGCCTTTATCATACAATCTGTGAGCGTCGGTCAATTTTGGAGGCGGAAGGACATCAGCGGACATCACTGATAAAAGACATCATTGGATCCCTCCCTGGCCGGACCATTCTTGTAAGCATAGAGGGCCAGGGAAAACGAGAGCTGCGGAGAGTCTGACCCACTCCTAACTACCAATGTGGATGACATCACTAGTGTGAACTGTCCCACATCGAAATTAACCATGCAAAGCCTCAGCAAAAAGCTGATCCAGCTGTGACTAGATTGGTTCTTACTGAATGGGGGCACCTCAAAAGTTGAATAATATATGATATAAGTATTTAATAAATACTTATGTGAAAATCACACGTGAACGCCATCCATCTCAGAGGACAGGTGGATCGATCGTTCGGCTGACATATCAGGGACTCTCGGCTGAAGCCTAGGAAAAGACGCCCTTTCGTGCCGATAGGAGTCGGCTTTCAATGTTTCGACATTGGTAGCGGAGCCTAGGTTTATCCTAGGCTCCCGCTGAGTAGGATCTCAGCGCGACACGTGAACGCCATGGCGGCATCGTTGGAAGGCAGTGGAAGCCTCCGTTCGTTCTCAGGTGACACCGAGGACGCCAAAGAGTACCGTAGATGGAAAGTGTGGGTGTTGAACAAGTTGCTCACCTTGGAAGACAAGGTGCAACCCAAGGCCCGTGGGGCCTACATATACACTCTGTTGTCAGGCAAGGCATTGGAGTGTGTGGAACACCTGGATCCTTCCTCGTACCAGAAAGAGGGAGGAGAAAAAGTGCTGCTCGACCGCTTGGATAAGCGGTTTCCTCAAAAGGACACCAGCGATGAGATGAGCGAGACCCTCACCGAGATCTTCAACCTGAAGGCTGCTGACGGAGAGAGCTTGAAGACCTGGATTTCGCGGGCTTCGGAATTGTTTGAAAAGTGTGAAAGGAAAGTCAATGTGACATTTCCTGAAGAAGCTCGCGGCTGGTTGATTTTGAATAGATCTGGCTTGACGGATGAGCAGAAAGCAGTTGTCCTTGCTCGCAGCCTTGGAGTGTTGAAGCGGGAAGAGATCGGACGTGCCATGCGTTCCTGCTACCCGGATTTCGTGGTCAAAAAGAAGAACTTCGGCGCAGGTATGGTTGAAGGGGACTTCGGACACACTGCAACCGAAGGTCCTGAGCACGACGATGACCCCGATCTGTCCAAGGAGGTTGAATCCTTCCTCGCTGAACACGATGTCTCTGCTGGAGATGTTGAAGAGGATGAAATTTATGATGAACGTGAAGTGGCCGAAGCCTTGGCCATCTCCTGGAAGGACCGACGCAAAGAGCTCAACAAGTTGCAAAGGACCCGCAAGTTCGCAGCGGCCTCAGACTTGAAACGAAGCTATCGCGTCGAGATCGCAGAGTTGAAACGCCGAACAAAGTGTCATCGCTGTGGAGCAGTTGGCCATTGGTCGAAGGAGTGCACTCAGCCCAAAGCAGCAAGTTCTTCTCAAGGTCACCCTCACAGTTCTGCCAAGCGTGAAGCCGGAGCAGCCTTGGTGACCGAAGCCTCTGACCTCAAGTCTGAGGGTTATGCAATGTGGGACAACGAAGACTTTGTGGCTATGGCAGCGGTTGTTCCGCCTCCCATGTCGACTCTGGACATGTTGCGACAGCGACATTCTGATCGTCTGGAGTCCTCCACCGTGCTTCCCGAAGTACTGCTCGTGAGCTCACCGGGATATGGTATCCTGGACTCTGGATGCGGACGCTCCATCATCGGACGTCAGACGTTGCAGGAGTTTCAACGTCTATGGAAAGCAGCCAACATCGCAGAGCCTCCCGAGCTGCACGAGGTGAACCACTTCAGGTTCGGCAATGGAGAGAAAGAGACAACCCACACCGTGATCCGCCTACCAGTTTTCTTGGGTGGCAAGAAGGGGACCATCAGGACAGCCATTGTGAGGGGACATGCCCCGTTCCTGATCTCTAGGAACGCGCTGCAAACCCTCAAGGCTGTCATCGACTTTGGACAACAACAGTTGACATTGTTTGATGAGAAAGTCGTGGTGCCTTTGTCCACCAATGAGGCTGGTCAGTTTGCCGTGAACGTGATTGGCGAGACAGTCACCCCTGACTTTGAACAAGAGGTCATGTGCACTCATCCCGAACCGTCCACGGTGACAGCAGAGTTCGTGCCACCAGCTCGTGATGACCCAGAGCCCAGTGACTCCGCTTCGCTTCAGTCATGGTTTAGGGATGATTCGTTTTT